CTTGCACTTGGTGCGTGGTTGCCCTGAGTCGCCTCTGCAGAAGGGGGTGCTCTGCCGCCGCCACCAGGAGCTCGCCGACCGCCCTGCCCTCGCCGGCGACATTGAAGCACACCGCGTGAGGGCGCCCCTGTCCACTGGTGCATTTCTTGACGTCGAAGTGCGCCTGGCCGGCTTCGGAAACTGGCAACCAGCTTGCACCGTCCCCGATTCGACCGTGCAGGCGTATTTCGCCCGGAACGCCGAGCAGGTCATCCAAGAGCGCAAGCGCCAGCGTCAAGAGCGCAGGGACTTTCTCCGGCGGCAACCGCGCCTGGTCCTGGGCGACTGGGCTTCTGGGCACGCCAAGGCCAAGTGCTCCTGCAAGACGCACAAGGAGTCCGTCTCGGCCATCCGCACGGCAAGTCGGTCGGCAGGGTTCCTAGCCGCAGTCTCAGAGAGTGGCGTGGTCGGTGCTCTTGAAGAGGTGATCACTGCTGAGACGCTGTCCCAGCGCTACTGCTTTTTGGCCGACGTGGCCACTGCTGTTCCAGAGCTCAAGACGCTCGTGCACGACGACGCGTGCCATGTGCGCTTGTTCGCCAAGGGCAGGGCGGAGGGCGCGCCGCCCGGCAGCTTGGCCGCTCGTCTTGGGCACTTCCGGTACATCGTCGACCGGCCGCACAGCAAAGGGCACGTCGACGCCACGTGCAGGGCGGAGTGCTTCCCAGACGTGCCCGCGAATGCTGCCGCCCTGGGTGACTTCCCAACGCCGATATGCGAGTCTGTCAACGCGCAGCTCTCGCCCTTGGCCCACACCGTCCACCACATGAGGCGCTGGGTCTGTGATTTCATCGTGGGCGAATGCGTGGACGTCCACAATGAGTTGCGCGCCCGGGAAGCAGCGCGCGGGGCTGCCAGGGCGGCCCGGAAAGCGGCCCGGCAAGACCGCGCGCCTGCACCCCGCCTGGTGCCCGCGGGGATTCCCGCCGCGGGCGCGCCGGCCGCGGGCGCGGCCCCGGGCGCGGCGCCGGCGGCCGCGGGCGCGGCCCCCGAGGCGACACACCCGCCCATAGTGCGTCGCAAACTCAGGCCGGTGTGGGCGGCTGCCGCCGCTGACGGTGACAAATTCTTTGAATGCCAGGCGTTTTACAAAGGGCGCCCTGCGAACCCAATGGCATTCGCATGCCCTGGGGCCCGGGTCATCTTCGGCACGGATACCGCCGCCGGAGTCGCGGTCTGCGCGGGGCGTGCGGAGCGCGGCTGCAATGCCGATGACGCGCAGCGCCTGGTGCGCGCGGTTCCGGCGCGCCTTCGAGACGAGCTGACCGCGTTTCTCGCCCCAGCTCTCTCGTTCGACGTCCTGCGCATGAGCGCTGTCTTCGATCTCCGCCCCTTGAATTTGACGTGGCCCGCGCTGGAGGAGGCTCTGGGCGCGCAGCCCGTCAAGCAGAATCAGGGCTTTCCGCGCTTCCGCGGCAGCGATGTAAACGCGCGTCTGGACGCGCTCTGTCGGCGACCCGGCGTCATCGCCCGGCGGCCGCCCCCGGCGGCGCGGCCCGTTTAAGGGCGCCTGCATAGCTGCGGTTGGCCGCTCGCAGCGCGCGAGGTTCGCGCTGCCCTTCCTGGGATATTCTGCCTTGCACTGCCCG